GATCAGACTACACCTTCACATGTTACCCCCGGGTTCAAACCATTTACTGCACTCCATATTTATATTTCAAAATTCAGCATTCCTCCCTGGGTGTCCATGGGAATGTTACAGTGATGGTTTGCAACTACAGCCTCATAGCATTCCTATGAGTGAAATCCTTTTTAGACATTTTGTTGAAGCAATTTCCAACAGAAACAAAGATATCAAATGAAAAAAAGTTGAGATCATAGGGTTAAAATCTTAGAGACCATGGCAACTTGTGCAATAGATCTCAGATGGTTTCAGCCTGGACCCTGACCAACTGCAATCTTCAAAGAGTTATCTCTTTCCAAATGAATGCAAAAACCAGGGAAAAAACTGGAGATCCACAATCTTTAGTCGACATACAGCACTGGTTTGATGGTATTGGTCAGAGAGCAAAAGTGTGCATACATTATTCCACTTAACCATAGATGATGGACATTGAATCATGCTGTCACTTTCCATCTAAATGGACCACAATCTTTGCCTTAAAATAATAACAATGACTGCAGATGATGGCAAAAAATATAAAAATGTTTCAATTTTCTTACAGATGTACACTTCCATAAGATCAGAGATTGAACAACTTGCAGTTCTTTGATCATGTGCAACCCTAGTTCATCTTCCCCAGTTGCCTTGTGGTAAACATGACACTCGGGACAATATTTCTGCATAGAGCATTATTCAGTCTAATATCTAGCAAGTTTAATTAAAAGGTCTTATTTGTTTCATAACCTTCCTTTTATTCTTACTAAGAAATTTCAAACTAACAAAGAAAAAAAAAAGTAGGTCACATGTCTATTTTTGAGCTTGTTCTGTTGCTTATCTTCCTATCTTTGATCTGAACTTTAAGTTGATGTGTACCTCTTTTCATATTGCTTAGGTATTTCATTTTGTTTTTATTGCTTAACTTGGACTGGACTAACATCAAAACACTTGGATGTTCTTTAGGCAACCAAGATTGGACAATTTCCCTCATGCTGTGCTAAATTCTAGGACTAAATTTTGACTGTCCAAGTAATTTTATTTCATACATGGAGTATATTCCCCTTTTAACACCACTCTCACGCCACTATGGTTGTATGTGAAAGCCCTGGCATCACATGGAAAATATTGAATAGATTGCCTGCTACCTGTCAGCCAACATCAGAACACATGACGCATTTTCACAAGCAAAGATGAGGATACAAGAATGCTTTGTTTCTAAATAACAATTTTCAGCTAAATTTGTTGCGGAGTGCTGTATAGATTAGCCAAAATAATATATTACTAAAGAAATTTAGACTGTTGGATATATCAAAACCGAGCAGATTGTTTGGACACGCAGTAGAGATTCAGTGTGGAACCCATATTTATCCTACTTGACAAATGTAAAATTATGCAAAAGTAATTTGAAGGAAGACCCTTTGATTTAATAATTTATGATCAAGAACCACTTAAATCTTAATTTTTTTTGTGACACTACAGCTCGTTTAAAGGGGACGACATAATTTGAAAAATCGTATGATTTTTATAGGAAGTGAATTCTCTCTCACCTCTTGTCATTTGCTCGTCTCTTGTTGTGGAAAGATGAACCCGCCAAATACGAAATACGATTCTTCGTACGCTGGAAACTAACACTCGTGGTCGATGGATCGTAGGACGATTCGGACATCGAAACGCTCCTTCGTATCATTGTGGAACTCTCCTGACATTTTCTCTCATAAATAGCCTCCGTAATGCTACGTTGTCTGTGTATTGATCGTTTGGAGCTGTTCTCAAAAGATTCTCCACCGGAGGTCGAGGGTTCAGATACAGAGTGCAGTAGTTTATTGCGTGTCCTCCTTGTTGCCTCTGGGAGGTCAGTGTTTCTAGGATCGTGTTCATTGATTTCTTTGGGACTAGCCTTTTCCTTTTTCCGTTCAGCTGCTTCCTTTGCAATATTTCCATCCAGTGAAATATTCGAAAGGAAAGCACATGCCGAAGCAATACGTTTTGACCTTCTTTTGCTTGGACGGCCAGCCGTCACAGCCGCCATATTGGCGGTTGTTGACAAATTGAGCCTGACCACCTGTGCCTGGGCTTCAGTGATATTGTACTCAACCTACCCCTGAAAAATATAGCTATATTCACAGGTTACCCAGGCCATGCAGCCCAGACAGCCCAGTCAGCACAATCGTTTTTGAGAAGAGTCGAGGAACATTATCTTGTTGAAGAGTTAACTTTAAAGTTTATTAAGCGAAATTCTTAATAGAAAAAAAAAGAAAAGAAAAACAACCAAATCTTTGGAATTTGGGGTATGGGAAGTAGAATGCAAAAAA